TTTTGAATTAGCATAGGACTTAGGAATCTGTAACTGTTTTGGTGCCTCTTTTTGCATTTGTGATCGGCGCCATGCAAGCGAGTTTCCCCCTTTCTGCTCCCATGGCCATCTCTTTGACGCTCCTTTCGTGCCCGCGCTCACTCTCCCTCTGTAACCGTTTTCCCCTCTCTCTCTCTCTCTCGCCCCGTGCGCCTTTTCTCTTTCTTGATCATCTGAATCTTGGATATTTTTCGTACTATCCTGCGCAACCCTCTTCCTCCCACTCTAAGTCCTCTGCCCACGAACCTGGTCGGTCCTCTCTTCACCCCGTTTAGCCAAGGAGAAGCGTCGTGTAAGAGGAAGCTCTTATTACGCAACGACTCTGATTGGCTACAATCGGACTCAGAAGGATCAACATGGCTTTCGCTGAGCGATTATCTCCAAATCCTCCCTCACCCTTCCCTGCCGCAATCTTGATCCTCCCTCGCATCTATCTCCTTTCCCGCAACTATAAATTTCGCAACCGCGCCCGCAAATCTCTCTCTCAACTCATCTGCCAGCTTTCGGGAAGCAGTGCCTAGATGGTACGTGTGGAGTGCGAGTCGAGAAGTCCCGACGGGCTGACTGTAGTGTGGCCGGCGGTGCGCCTGATCACCACGACGGACTGTGGGACCCGGGCAAGCCGTGTAAAGACTAAGTCGACGGGGTGATGGTCGCAGTAGTGAAAAGTGGCACGTGACGGCCGGGATCGTCAGTGCATGTATGGGGATAGTGATCAGAGTTGAATGGATGAATGGCCCGGGGCCTGGGGCCATAGTTGAACTTCACAGCGGATGCGCCTCCTTGTCTCGAATCTATTCTTTGGTGTGAGTTCAGTTCGACGGCAGTGAAGTCGGAAAGTCTTCTTCATCATCGGATCTTGGTGTAATTCTCATCTATCTTGTCTGCTCCATGTCTTTTCCTCCCTACCTTCTCTCTCTCCCTCTATGATATGAACGATTATGGATGTTTGTCGATCTATTGTACACGGGGATAATGGGGCAGGGGTGCAGAGCACACGGATAACTGAGTGATGTGTTGCAGCCATTTTCGCACCTTCCTTGATGAATGCCTGTGGGAGACGAATGGGAATGCTTGGATGATGAGACGATTGCCTGGTGGACTTGTCTCCGACTAGATCGCAGAATCATTGTGATTGACATGTGGGATGCATGCCAGATAGGATATCGCTATTGCCATGTGGACCGATTGTCCCAAGCCGACTGGGCGCCCGCCTCTCGCATCCCCGCCACGCCCCTTCCCGGATAACGAGAAGATGACACTTGTATGAGAGTGGGACGTACGAGAAGCCGTCGCCAAGATCGGTGGAAGATGCTACTTCCCTCCTGAAACTCGATGCTCTGGATTTGTCGGTGCTGGCTTTGTTATTGTAGACACACACTTTCCGCCTTATTCGTTGCTATTGCCGTTCAATTAGTTAATCGTCATCCCGTTGTCGGCAGTAGCGCCCCATTGGCCTAACACTCTATGCAGTGATTGTCGCCGCTTCGAGCGTTACCAATCGAAGGGCTTTCACTACCGAGCATGAGATGAAGATGAGCATAAGGAAAGAGCCACTCGGTTAAGGCCTTCCACGTCAGATTCAGAGTTGTGTAATGAGTGGCGTCGGGACTTGACCCGGAAACGGGATACCAAGTACGTGCCCGCCCCCTTCCACGCAAAACGAAAAGCGACGGCTCGATGGGAAGTTCAACGATACTTTTTGGATTGAATTTCCCCGCGCCGTGAGTCCCGCGCGCGCCTTCTTTGCCCTCAAACTCATGCGGTGGCGAACCTTCCCCCTTCTCCCCCTTCTTACTAAGTTGGACCGGCACAGGGATTTCGGTTCTGTCCGTGTC